TATTAAAAGTCTGGTTCACTCGCCTTAAGGAATCACATCCTTAGTCAATGTCAAAGGAGAAAATAAGCTCTAACAACAATATTAAACATAGAAGAAATGGGAACTGGAAAGACAAAAAGACCTTTTGCTCTAAGATTACCTCTTATCCAACAAAAAGAATAAGAACAAGATCACTCTAAGTAGATTAGCTTTAAAAGAAGATAAGATCCTTAAAAATTAAAGATAACCACTACATCTACTAATCCAAGAATTGTTGTGCTAAAAGGCAAATAAATGAGACTTCTCGATTATCCTTACCAAACTCAATAGTCTATAGGAGTCGTGTTCGATCAAATGTCTCCACCTCGACTCAAAATCAAAAGTAGCCCGACTAAAATTGCATTCCGTGAAAAGTATAACTTCTAGGTCCATGAATTATATCAAACATCATACTCCATGGAAGTCATATCAATCCCTAAAAAGATTCAGTGACACTAAGGCCATATTTGGTATGGTGTAATCAATCTTATAATAAAATGAGAATTAAGCCATATTTGGTATGGTGTAATCAATCATGTAATAAAATGAGAATTATGTTACATGATTAATTATATTATTTGGTTAGGCTTTTTTTTATTACTGTAATGTAATTGAAATTACATATGTAATCTTCATTACTTAGATTGATGTAATATTATTACATAAAAAGCATATTTATTATCCATTACATTAAGTACATGTAATACTACTTACATCAAGTCACCCCAATTAAAACTCTACCACTACTACAACTGCTCAACCACCACCCCCACATCCCCACCACCACCTCAACCACCACAGCACCACAACCACTCCACCACCATCACCATTCCTCCACAACCACCACCACCATCATTCCATCATCAACAATGCACCACCACCACCACCACCTCAACCACCACTACCATTGTTGCTCCACCACTCTACCACCACCACCATTGCTCTACCATTGCCACCACCATCGCCACCGCCACCACACCACTTCCACTATCGCTTTATCATCACCACCTCAATCACATTACCACAACCACCGCTCCACTATCACCACAACCACCACCACCACCACGACACCACCCCACATAATGAAAACTATATTTTAGTGTTTAATATGCAACACTTAATAAAAATTATATTTTATTCTTTTATTTTATTATATGAATGAGAAGAATAAAATGAAAAAAAAAACTAAAAATATCAACATGCAATAATTTTATATTGTGATTTAATTTATTCAAGGAAAATATATGAAAAAAATTAATTTCTAATGACTTCAACTTTTTATTTTATTATATTACATTTTTTTCGGGTTACTTTCTTTTAATTTTTTAGTTCAGATAAATTTATAAATCTAAATGATCTTTAATAGTTAATATAGTGAATAATTTTTGGTTCAAATATTGCTTTTGTATCACTAATGATGTAGTGGTGGTGGAGTCGTATTTGAGGTGATGATGGTGGTGGAGTGGTGGCTGTGATGGTGGTAGAGTGGTAGTTGTGGTGGTGGTGGAGGTGGAGTGATGGTGGTGGTGGTATGATTAGTGATAGTATGCTAATTACATTATATATTTTCAAACAAGCATGAAAAAAGAATGATGATTACATTCTATAAATTTTATCAATTACATTACCAAACATAGTAATGGAATCTTGAATACATTCCATTACATTACATTTTTCATTGCATTACATTTTTGATTACATTACATCGAACCAAATATAGCCTAAAATTTTAGCCGTGAAAGTCATATCAATATAGAAAAATACGGCTAGGTTTGATTAATATTCTGATTTTCCGAGGAACAGCTATGTGAAGAGATATAAGATGGCTAAAAAAGACAATCATAATGTTAGAAGTGAAAAGGTGAAGAAAGTCCATAAGGAAAGAAGAGGCTTTTTTTTTTTTTTTTTTTTGGATTCTGAAATTTTCGCAGGGAACAGCCTATGCGTGAAGAGATATAAGATGGCTAAAAAGGACAATCCATAATGTTAGAAGTTGAAAAGTGAAGAAAAGTCCATAAGGAAAGAAGAGGCTTTTTTTTTTTTTTTTTTTTTGAACGTCTATCACAAAAGGAACTATTATAGGGAGAAAAACTCTTCAAGTTCTGAGAAAATGTATCGAGACACTTTTTCAATAATATTAATCCACAAGAGCTTTTTTTTTTTTTTTTTTTTTGGAACGTCTATCACAAAAGGAACTATTTATAGGGAAAAACTCTTCAAGTTCTGAGAAATGTATCGAGACACTTTTCAATAATATTAATCCCAAGAGCTGATAATTAGGCACTGGTTATTTCATTTCCCTTTGATCCAGAAATTAAACCACCAGTTAGCCAAATGATTATCAAAGATATGGAGGTATTAGGTTTGATAATGGAGTAAGTAAAGAAACTAATAATTTTTATCCAAAAATTATAAAATAATATATTGAAAAGTATATTGTCAATAGTCAAAACAATTAGGATACATCCCTATAACTATTTTTCCACTCTATCTATGGAGATAGTCTTTACAATCAGCTCTCCCTCCTCGAGCAAGCTGCCAGCTCTACCCTATACCTATTGGGTCTAGCTCATCAGCTCCAAGCTCAACTTATTAGCTATAATTGATGAACCAACCATGTCACTAGCTTCCTCTCCATCACCAGAGGATATATCAATAGCTGCATTTGCAACTCAAAGTTTTGCTTAGCAAGCCTCTCTAGCTCCACCTTAGCTCTAGCCAATCCAACTATTATCAAAGGTCAATAGCTTTATCAACCTAAGCAACATTTAGACTTGAAAAGTGAGACTTGAAAACTTGTAACACATTCTCTTGAAAGATCTTAAATAGGCAAGCTATGTCCCATTGAGCTTCCATTGTATCAATTTTCAATTTTTCAATTTCAACGATCATGAGCAATAACTTTTCACTAAAGGCCTAACTCCCTCTAGACAGTATCAGTTAAGGCTTTATCAGAAACAATAAGCTTAGATTACAAAGCAACTACTTTCTATTAGAAGAATTGAGCTTCTCCTGTAATATCTCTTTATTAGATTGAGCTTGCAAGACCCTCTAAGAAAATGTCGAAACTCCCCCTCTGGCTAAGTACTAATGGTTGAGGTCTTATAGCTCCCAATAGTACAATTGTGCTTCTGAATAAACTCTGTTGCCTTCATCCTTAGATCAATAATTTTTTATCCCAACTTAAAGAGCCCTAATTCAACTTTTAGAACTCTCTCTCTCAATTCAATATGATTTTATTCGGCCTTGTTCAACTTATCCTGTAAGGTCATTATTCAATTATTCTAAGTTTGTGAGAAAGATTTATATTGATTAAGCTCTACATTCAGCTTCTTATTACTGTTCTCTAACTTAATGCACTCAGACAATATACCATGACTACGGAGCCAAGAGAGATAGCAACCACAATAGTGTTTATATAGTTCTTTAGTAGGGAAGTAAAAGTTTTCTCAAAGTCCTAATCATGAAAAAATTTCAAATCAAAACTGCCTAATATTCTTTCAGCAAGGGTAAGTGCCAACTCAATAGTCTAAAAAGACTTTTTATTACTATAATCCAAATTCAATATTAGAAACATCGCCACCTCCCCTTAATATCTCCTTTTAGTAATAAAGGACCAGAGGGAGAGGCCAATAAAGACTTATTAATCAAAGTAGGTTGTTGATCAACGTGAATAACTTTAAAGGAAAAGAACTACAGATAATAGGAGAAATAGAAGGAAAATCTTATATATCAGTTGTAACAAGCACCACCACAGCATCAATAGATAAAGCCTCAGTATTACCCATGATATGTACAAGAGGCAAACTATCTTAGCTTCTAATAATGCAAGAAGGGGCATCAAGAGTAGGACGATCTGAAGAAATAACCACCATATCCGAAGTACAGGAAGGAGCAACCAATATTGAAATAAAGAAAAAAAAAATTGCTTTTAAGTATAACTTCATTGTGATAAAAATATGGCCTAAAATCAATAGGATCCTTTTTGGATAATTCTTGATAACTCTTCAAAGTCTCCTTTATGTTCTTTCGCAAAAACTGTATTTGTGCGATAATCAATCTCACATCTCTTGCTTCTTTTACTTTGTTCTCCTCTTTTACAATGTTTAAATCTCCTTGTAACCTTCGAATAATAGCTTCTTCTCCACAATAGTCCACTAATAAAGCATTTTCAAAGAATGCCTCAAACATTAATGGATTCTTACGAAGAATTCCATTATATAAATAAGAGTCATTTACATAGACGCTCTAAATTCTTACAGGAGTCATTTAAACTTTTATTTAAAGAACCTCGCGTCCTATCTCAAAGGTACATTCAAACTTTTATTTAAAGGGCCTCATGTCCTATCTCAAAGGTACATTTAATCAATCTCAATTTACCTCTATAATCCTCCATTATTCTCCTGCTAACTTAAGTATTGGAGTGTTTGTAGGTACTCCTTTCGGCAATGCTTTAGCCTATTGTTCTGCTTCCAATTGTGGTTTTAATCATACCTATAAATTTATATCTCTAACAACTTTTTATCATTTTATTTATAATTATTTATAAATAATAAATTTCTATTAAAATAATTTATTTAGTATTTTTATTTGTACAACATATTAAAATAAAATATATATTTTTAATTCATTGAAGGCTTTTATAGGCTGAAATAACACTGCGGGCTACATAATAGAGGATAACTCTACCTTAACTCACCAAATTGGTGACAATAACTGTGGTCGAGACGACTCGAATTCGAAACCTGTCACTCCTCACATAAGTGAAAAGACCAACCAGACCACCAACTATTTTTTGTTTTTTGAAATTGGTTTAAAAATATAAAAGTATATTTTAAATCAAAAATGAAAATAATAACCAAACCAAACTGTGTTTAAATTGAGCAATTTATATATACTTGAAAGTTAATTTTAAATTTAATGGGAAAAATTAGAGGAGGAGTTTGGCCAGTGTGGGCATTGTCTGGATCACAAGGACAATACTACCAGTGATTCCATACTTAGTCAAAGCAGCAGTCTGTTTCCGACTTATATATTTCTTCCTTCCCTCAATTTTGTCACCAACTACCTCTTCCTCCTCTCCAACCATTTACAACAAACCCTAAAACCCTCAAAACTCAGAAACTTGATACTCCTCTGTTCTTATTCGCCAACCATGAATTCCTCCACATTAGCCACTTCTTTTCTCTATCTCAAAACACCTTCCACCAACTCTCCTGCACTTCTCCGTTTGCCTTCCCTCAGATCCCATAATATTAGTACTGGTAACTTCAGTTTCCCTTCCATTAAAGCAGTTAGAGCATCCTCCAATCACTCCTCAAATCTTATCCAGAAACGCCCCATCCTCCAAAATCTGAAGTCCCTCACCAGAACCGCAATTCTAATTGCTGTTGCTGCGTCAATGGCCACAAGATTCTCAGTTTTGCAAGCGAGAGCTGAAACTTCAGCTACTCTAACTGAACAAATGCCTACTCTCGACCAAAAAGAAGAACAGGACATAGAGGAAAACCAAAACCAGAACCAAACTGATAAATCAACCCCAGCATCTGAATTCGTTGAATCCAATGTTGAATCTCTAAAATCACTTTTACAAGAAAAGCTTGAGAATGGTGAAGATGAGGCGGCTCTCAAGATTCTAAAGAGTCTGATCTCGGTTCAGCCGTCTGCGACAGAGTGGAAATTCTTGATGGCAAGATTATTAAACGAAATGGGTCAAACTCAAGATGCACGTAAAGTGTTTGAAGAAATTCTTCGTGAGAATCCATTGTCGTTTGAGGCATTGTTTGAAAATGCTTTATTGATGGACCGTTGTGGAGAAGGGGAAGCTGTTCTTAGTAGGCTACAAGGGGCGTTAGACATCGCAGAAGAGGAGAACAAAGTAAAAGAAGCCAGAGATGTGAAATTGATTATGGCACAAATACAGTTTTTGCAAAAGAACGTAGAGGAGGCTTTGAAGAGTTATCAAGAACTGTCCAAAGAGGATCCTAAAGATTTTAGGCCATATTTTTGTCGGGGAATGATCTACAGCTTGCTTGATAGGAATGAAGAGGCAAGAGAACAGTTTGCCAAGTATCGCGAGCTTTCGCCCAAGAAATTTGAAGTGGAAGGGTATTTGAGGACCCCGTTGTCAAGAATGAAGATATTTGGTTCAAATGAGGAGAATTGAATTTCTTTGACTTCGTAGTTCTGAGTTAATAATGGTTGGAGACGGCAGTTCTTCAAACAACAAAGGGGATACTAACCCTGTGGTTCTTTAGTTAGCAAGTTCAGTAAGTTTATTGTTCTACAGGAATTTATGTTAAAAATTCTAGTAATCATGCTTAGAAGGAATAAAGAAAGAGAACTGAGTTTTTGCTGTTGGCTGCGAAAATGTGATTCTAATGCTAATGTAGAAAAGGTATTTGCTGCACCTGCAATATGTAATTCTCTGCTTTGCTATTGATTCCTTTTTTTCTTGTTGGAATTTTTGAGGGAGAAAATGAAGAATTGATTACTTTTTTTTTTTTTTGTTGTTGTTGATTTTCTTGCTAACAGAAAATTTACTGCAACTCTGAAATTTGCTTTGGTTGAATTTTTATTATGATTTGAATTTGTACAAAACTTACCCCTATGTGAGTATTGGGACACCAAGTCTGTTAGTTTAGCTGAATTCCACAAAAATAAAAATCTATTTTGTATTTTCATGTTTGGTACGAGTAACTCATTTTACGCCTATGATTTTAATTTTATGGAATTCAATATACCCAAACCAAACAAATCACTCCAATCAAATTCATGTAATTTCAAACAAGCGGTGGTTGATTATTGTTTTTTTTTTCCCTTAAACCAAAACAGCCCTGAAGTTTGTTTGGAACTGAACCAAACTCACTGGTTAGTTCAGTTCTGATCGGTTTTGGGCTTAAATCTCATATTTTAAGTAACCGAACCAAAAATCGAAGTTGCACCATGTATTCAAATAACCGAACTGGATTTATTTGTCAGTTTTAACAGAACTTTGCTCAACCCCATTCTTTAGTTGGGTTTCTACTTGCTTGATTCTCCTGCTCCAATGTCTCAAACGAGCACTCTACCGTGTCTTTAACTCTTTTGATTTATTATTATTATTATTATTATTATTATTATTATTAATTTTTTGCCAATGCTATAAGAACGATTTAAACATTACTGAGATAACTGCAGGAATGAAAGTTTTCCAAGAAAACTATGGTCTGATGTCTGCTGATCCTCTTATTATTAATCCTCATTTTACCTGGACAAACATGTTAACTTACATATTTTCTGTCAACTGAAGCTTCTTGGTTTCATGGTAATAAACTTGCTTATGGTGACATTGCAATTTGTTGAGTTTGAGGTACCATGCTTTTGGCTATTAAAGGGTAATATTGTCTATTTTTAGTAACAGAACAGATTAACCAGTCCTATTTTCAGGGCCGACTTCTTCCATATAACAGGTGATGCTATTTCTTGTCCCATTTCTGTTTTTATCTCACATGTCCTGCACTTTCTTTATTCAAGCAGTCTTTCTTTTCTTGTTATGTTATTTATTAACTAGGAACCAATTACAAAAAGAGACTTGGAAAGGAAATGATGCGTGAAAAACTAATATACATATATATTATTAAAAGGTCTCTGTCAAGTTTTGGTTGAAGAAGCTTCCTACTATATATTCCCAGAATAACAGTAGAGCTAAGCACTTTCTTCATTCAAATTCTGTTTTTAACTTGCTTTTCCTTTGTTCTTTATCCTCTCCTCTCTGCTTAACCTTTTGACCCATGCATCTAGTACTAATTGAATTTATTCATTGCATAATGAACCTTCCTCATATATTCTTTTTGGTATATTTTTGTAGTTGAGCTATGTTTTCCTGGCACCACCTGATTTAATTAAAGTTTTTTTTTTTTTTTTATGTATATTAAAATTTTTTAAAAAGAAAGGCTATAGGAGAATTTGAATTTCAAATACAAGAAACTCAAGCCTAGATACAAGTACACTGAAAGGGCCACTTTTTGTTCATGTGGTTGGTTAAATTGCATTTTAAAAGTCCAGATTATTAGCTCAAATTAATCCAAATTTGAAATCTTAGGGTTGTCCTTCAATTGCTATGAAATTGCAAAAACATGTAAAGATGGATTAACAGTCTTCTGAAAATCGAAAAAAATAAAAGAAGAAAAAATAGAAGAGCCTATTTTATATATATTTACTTAAGTGTGAAGACACAAGAGGCCTTTTGGATAGGCTGCATGGAGTTACAAAACCGTGAGGGTTACCCATCGAGTTACAATAGGCTGCATGTTGGAGTTGCTGTCTTTACTTGATTTCCCAAATTTCTGCAAGTCTTTTTGTATATGTACTTCTCTGCTACTCTTTTCTTTGCATTATGATGAAAAAGGGTTTCTTATATCTACTGTGGTTATTAGATGGATTAGAAGACAAGCTAACATAGGAGGCTCATTCGTTAATAAGAGCCTCCTATATATATACTCGTTTCCAAGAGTTGGGAGTTGTCCCACAAGAGTTGTTTTCTTCTTATTCTTTTTAATGGAATGATATTTCTCTTAAAAAAAGAAATCTTTGTGTTATAAAATCAATTTATTATTTATTTTTGTTCTTGTTGTTTAATGATTGCATAATTCCATGCAATAATAACACATACATAGATTGCATATGTTCACAACAATGTAGATAGAATTTAATCAAAATTGAATAACTGTTGGTGGTGTTAGTTTTGTATATTGTTAGAGTAAAAGAACGATGCAAACAATATTTTCAATAACAGTTAAAGAAAATCTGGATCGAATGAGGGAGAAGGAAGATTTGTATTAAGCCAAATCTGTCAAATACAGCTGCTAATGAATATTCTTGGAAATAAAGGGAAAATAGAATTACAATTAAAGAAGGAAAAAGACAAAGATGGTTGCGAGCAACCCCTATACTTAGCCTGTGCAGATATAATGCCCAAAAATAACAGAATGCTCAAAAGATTGCAAACCAATATTTTCAATAAAACAGTTAAGAAAAATCTGGATCGGAATGAGGAGAAGGAAGATTTGTATTAAGCCAAATCTGTCAAATTGTATTAAGCCAAATCTGTCAAATACAGCTGCTAATGAATATTCTTGGAAATAAAGGGAAAATAGAATTACAATTAAAGAAGGAAAAAGACAAAGATGGTTGCGAGCAACCCCTATACTTAGCCTGTGCAGATATAATGCCCAAAAATAACAGAATGCTCAAAAGATACCCTTCCCTTTTCGGTCTGCTACCTTTAAATAGGCAGATACAAAATTAATTCAGTTGACGTGGTACACTTTCTTGATTCTCAATCCATATTCTTCTATTCTCTTTGTTGCCCCTTCTCCAGTAAACTTTAAAGGGCCTTGGCCTAGATTTGGAATGCTATCATTACTGCCCTCCTGAAAATGAGCCTTGTCCTTAAGTCTGAAATTTAGAAATTGGCCTAGCAATTCAGACTTTTCGACCCAAGTAGCTTCATCAACAGTCTGGCCTTCCCATTGAATAAGGAACTGCTGCATAGGTTGTTGGTCCCTCTCAATTGTTCTGTGCTGGCCAATCTTCTCAGGTTCTAATGGAGGCCCTTCCCTGCAATTCATATTAGTAGGCAACATATCTATCACCGGGTGATTTCCCACGACTTTCTTAAGTTGAGAAACATGGAAAATAAGGTGGAGCTTAGCTGAGGGTGGCAATTACAGTTTATATGCTACCTCACCAAATTTTCCAATGATCTCATAGGATCATAGTCACTACAAAAAAAAAAAAAAAAAAAAGTCATAAAAAAAAAAAAAAAACGTCATTTTGCGACTTACAAATCGATCGCAAAACCCAAGAAATCGGTCGCTAATCAAACTTAGCGACCGATTTGTGACTGATAACCATCTGTCGCAAAAGTGCTCGTCGCAAAATATTTTGCGACCGATGAAGTAATCGGTCGCAAATTAGCGATCGATTTATCGGTCACCAAATTAAAAAATCGGTTGCAAAATTTGGTCGTATTTTCCTTTTGAAACGCTGTCGCAAATTGATTGCAGAAACAGTTTGTCGCAATTATGAAATGTGGTTGCAAATTGGTTGCATGAAACGCAACAAATCGGTGTAAAGAGTTGGCATTTCTGGGCTGTTAGATTTTCCCGGCCACCGTGCACGGCGGCGGCGGTCCGATGACCGGCCAGCGAGAATCAAGTGAGGCTTCAAGAGACAGAATGACATCCTCTTCGTGCGGATTCTGGAATCGTAGTTCGATTTTCAATCGGTACACTCTAAGATTCAATTCGCAATTTTCGTATAAATCCCGAACTAATTAATGAATGAATTTGATTGAGTATTTAAGTGAATTAAATTGAATATTGTTAATTATATTTCATGAACATTAATTATAAATATAAGGTAGAAATTGAAATAAGAATTTTTCATGAACTGAATATTGTTAATTATATTTCATGAACATTAATTATAAATATAAGGTAGAAATTGAAATAAGAATTCCTAACTAATAATTATGAAAGTTAATTTTAGGAACTTCAATAAAATTATTAGGAAAAATTATAATTTATGGTATAAACAAGTAATTAGTTATAGAACAATTAATTATATCATGGGAATTTAGTTTGATTGAGAATGTGGCCGATGAATGGATTGTGTGAACGAATGAATGATGGTTATGGCGGACAGTATCAGTTAAGATGAATTGCCTGATGGATGGGCTGGATGTTGACAAGTGGAATATGTAAAAATTGGGTAGTACAGTTTATAGAGAAAATGCTGCCGAATTTTCGGCAAAAATCTTAAATTAGACTAAATAAATAAAAAAAGGAACATTATATATATATATAGAGTTTAGTTTGATAACCAAAAACTAATAAATGAATGTGAAATACATAAGTTAGTTAGAACTCTTATATAGAATTTCCTTTTTATTTAGATGCATATAGAGTTCCAGAATGTGAAGACAAAAGCTGAAAGCCTGCAGTAGTAGAGATAGTCCTTTAAAGGACAATAAAGAACTGTGAGTAGTGTTAAATAATTCGCATCATCCGCCTGCATCTTTACATTCATGCATTCATGGCTAAATGTTATCATGTATTTGTTAAATTGCTATATTGTGCTGCACTATTGTTGCGATTAAAATTTGCTTGTATTGTTGCGATTAAAAATTTGCTTGTTACCTGTGTTTTATGAATATTGTTTTGTGCCTTGGTTTGTGTGGAATTGGGATGAAGTGGGTCACCCATGGGTTTGTGAGGGCGGTCTACGAGACGTAGGTCCGTATGGGAGATCGGGCGTCCCCGTGTGCACCTGATGATATGATATGGATAATATGGATAAAACCACAAGGTGGCCTCTCTGATGGTAATGGGAAAAAGAAAAGAGAAGAATTGCAAAAACAATGAAGATTGGTAAAAAGTGAGGTCCTGATGGTATGGAAAAGAAAAGAGAGAATGCAAAAACAATGAGAGGATTGGTCAAGTGAGGATTAGATCGGTCGG